GCGAGCGCCGCGTCGGCGGCGTCGGCGTCGGCCGGGGAGGCCGCGGGGGACCCGGCGCTGTGCCGGCTGTACCGGCACGTCTCTCACGACTTCCTGGAGAGCGAGCGCCGCGTCGGCGGCGTCGGCGTCGGCCGGGGAGGCCGCGGGGGACCCGGCGCTGTGCCGGCTGTACCGGCACGTCTCTCACGACTTCCTGGAGATCCGGTTCAAGATCCAGCGGCTGCTGGAGCCGCGGCAGTACATGCTGCTGCTGCCCGAGCACGTGATGGTGAAGATCTTCAGCTACCTGCCCACGCAGGCGCTGGCCGCCCTCAAGTGCTCGTGCCACTACTTCAAATCCATCATCGAGACGTTCGGCGTGCGGGCGGCCGACTCGCGGTGGAACCGGGACCCGCTCTACCGGGACGACCCGTGCAAGCAGTGCAAGAAGCGGTACGAGCGCGGCGACGTGTCGCTGTGCCGCTGGCACCCCAAGCCCTACCACCACGACCTGCCCTACGGCCGCTCGTACTGGATGTGCTGCCGCCGCGCCGAGCGCGAGGCGCCGGGCTGCCGCACCGGGCTGCACGACAACAACTGGGTGCACCCGGCGGCGGCGGGCAGGAGGGACGAGGGGAGGTGAGGGAGGGAGGGAGGACGGACGGAGGGACGGACGGACGGACGGAGGGACGGGCGGGGAAGGGGGGGGAAAGTGGAAAAAAAAAGGAAAAAAAAAGAAAAAAAAAAGGAATGGAGAGGGTTGAGTGCGGGAGTGTGGAAGGGGAGGGAGGAGGGGAAGGGTGGGGTGGTGGCACCATGGAGGTGACAGGGGCATGCAGGGTGGTGTCCCCAGTGGGGACTGCTCAAGGGTGATGTCACCAGGTGGGCTGGTGGCACCAGGGAAGGTGACAGTCACCTCCAGGGTGGTGTCCACAAATGGGGACTGCTCAATGGCGATGTCCCCAGGTGGGCTGGTGGCACCAGGGAAGGTGACAGTCACCTCCAGGGTGGGGTCTCCAATGGAATCAGCTCAATGGCGATGTCATCAGGTGGGGTGGTGGCACCTGGGAGGACAATGTCCCCATAAAGGACAATGGGGACAGCTCAATGGCGATGTCACCAGGTGGGCTGGTGGCACCACGGAGGGTGGCAGTGTCCCTCAGAGGGTGACAGTCCCCTCCAGGGTGGTGTCCCCAATGGGGACTGCTCAATGGCGATGTCACCAGGTGGGCTGGTGGCACCAGGGAAGGTGACAGTCACCTCCAGGGTGGGGTCTCCAATGGAATCAGCTCAATGGTGATGTCACCAGGTGGGCTGGTGGCACCTGGGAGGACAATGTCCCCATGGAGGACAATGAGATCAACCCAAGGATGATGTCCCCAGCTGGGCTGGTGGCACCTGGGAAGGTGACAGTCCCCCCCAGGGTGGTGTCCCAAATGGGGACAGCTCAATGGTGATGTCACCAGTGGGGCTAGTGGCACCTGGAAGGACAATGTCCCCATAAAGGACAATGGGGACAACCCAGTAGCAATGCCACCAGCTGGGCTGGTGGCACCAAGGACAGTGACAGTCCCCCCCAGGGTGGTGTCC